TTTGAAATTATATAGAGATATGGCAGATATATGGATATATGATGCTGCTGCTGACTGCAGAAGCATGCCTTCCTGCATTCCTTCGTAGACCCAGGGCACTGCCCTTGAGGTGTTCCCCCACCACCACACCACACCCTCCTTCAACAAGCGTAGCCACTCACACAGTTTGTAAGAAGAGTCAGTTGAGGTCTCCAAAACAGGAGCCACCTGGGTGAGTGTGAAACATCGAGTTACCTCTTTGGGCAGTTTTAGACATTTTGATATTTCAATTAATATGAAGAAGATAATTAAAGTCAGAAAATTTTTTCCAAACAGCTCAATCAGATTCTTGGGTACTAGCATTTCTAACTGGGAGAGGCAAAGGCTGACTTTTTCCCTCCTAGTTTGGAGGTGTCAGGGATGAATTGAAATGGATTGTAGGCTTTGTAAAACCTACTCTATGCATTGTAGCTCCTCTTTAGAATGTATAAATGAACGCGAGGAACGAGAGGCCGGTGTGGGAAATAAGGTACTTGCTTAAAATCGAATGATGGCTGCCTTTTAAACAGCTTCCTGCTTTTTACTAACTGAAGTCAGAAATCGTTAGAATATGAGAACTAAAACAATAAACAAGACCAGTCAAATGCCCTTGAAAGGGGACCCTGGCATCTGTTTTTCTTTTCAGCCTGATTCAAAGAGCAATCTAACACCTGTTCTTTTCACAGACGGCTTTATGGTAAGCAGTATATTTTTCTGTGACTCAGGCTGACAGAAACTTGGTGAACAGATCTTCATTACAAAGCAGTCAGAGGAAAAGATGGAAGCAAAGGCCCTTAGTAGACCACAAATCCACATCCGAACCAACATGAGCAAAAGAATTAGCAACAGTCTAGGGGTTGCCTTTTTTGGGGTATCTTGGAGCAAAGCTGCTATGGGAAAATGTGCAGGTGCCCGGGGGATGCTGTGCTACTACAGAGGATAGAAGTCAACTCACAGGGTGATTTCTGAACCCTGATAATCTGACAATTGACCAGCTGACTACTTGATTAGTTCCTTATAAAACTTGGAGCGCACAAAGCGGGGCAGCGAATCCTTCTCCATCAGGGCATAGATTCTTTTCTGGGCTAGGTCAAAACTGCTCGGGGAAGGTTCCACCAGGTTCTTCATGGTGATGTCTTTAGTGAAATGGTCGATGTTCACCTGTGGACCAGGAAACAGGGTCACTGAGTCAGCGTAGGCTTCAGGATTGGATGAAGGTGCCAGAGCGGCAGGATTCTCACCAGCAAGACACAGGACAGAAGGGATGCCATGCAAAGGAAGAAAGACCACTGCTGTTTCAGAAGCCATGGAATGAGGAAGCTGATGCTGCAGCAAGCACGTGACTCGGATTCGGAGGCAACTGGCATTAGAAACCTACCAGGCATCCACCACCTGTAGCCAATCTATGCATATGCTGTTTCATCCTTCAATACTTTAAGAATATATATACAAGTTAAGAGGCTCAAGATCATATCTCTGATAAGAGGGGTTTTGGTCTTTTTTTCTTTTCTTTTTTCTTTTTTTTTTTTTGGTTTTTCAAGACAGGGTTTCTTTGTAAAACAGCCCTAGCTGTCCTAGAACTCACCCCTGTAGACCAGGCTGGTCTTGAACTCACAGAGAACCATCTGCCTCTGCCTTCCCAGTGCTGGGATTAAAGGTGTGCCTACTACCACCTGGCTCTAGTAAGTGATTTTATGAAACAGATTTGAATGCAAATGAACTAATACTTGATTTCACAGACTTTCTACCCATTAGGCATCCTGCCTTCTGATGACAGTGAGGAAGAATTGGTGACCAGGGACCCTTGGCATAGCTTTAGAACCAGTCTTCCCTGGAAACAAACAAGGAGGCAGCAGTTCTGACCAGATAACAAGCACAGTGATGAACCAGTGCTTTGTCTATAGAGTGGTTAGTTTGTGCTGGGGGGTTGAATCTGGGATCTGCTGCATACACACTAACCAAGTAAGTGCTTTACCAACTGATCTACATCTCCGCACCCACATCCGTCTCTTGAAAGGACCAGCTAGGGATGCTACACAGCCAAAGGAATAAGTATTTCATGTTGTCTCTGTAATATTTGTTACATATGCATAGGAAAAGAGATGACAGGAATCTTTCCCTTTACAAATCATCTGTAATACCTCACTCAGTCACCGATGTGCTGGACTTCAAACCTTGATGACAATTCAGTGTCCACATTGAATTCAAGAGAACCATGGACTACAACAGGACCTGACCAAATGGACAGGTCTGGCTGTGGCCATCTTGGATTTTTCAACAAGCTTTCTGGTTTGGTTTCATCGATAGCAAAGAAAAGAATAGACAGACTTCCCCAAAGCTTCCTTGAAACCTGAACGTATCTGATCTTCATCAGTCCATTAGTGGTATATTGGTTTTAAATACCTTTTGCACTGTTACATGATTTTATTTTGGTTCCCATGAATAGTAGATCCTGCTGTCTCAATAAAGGATGAATGTCAAAGGCTTGAAACAGGGGACTCATCGGCATCAATTAGTTGGAATATTCATGCACTTTTTTCCACATCTATTGTTTGTTTAATTTAATTCTTATAACTTTACAAAACAGTTGTAGTCAGTCTTACATTCCAAAGGGAAGAAAACAGACCCCACATTTTATCCCAAATCTTACATTGGGTTCCTTCGTCCTTAAGGTTGGTTGTATGGTACTGAAGAGCCATTGCTGTACAGTGGTCTGTACAGCATTTAGGAAGGACTTGCTTGATGCTATCACACTGCCCTTGTGTTCAGTAGCTACATACGGGGCACTCTAATCACAAGCACAGGTAACCTTCAGCTCCCAATGCTGTGCCAGCAGCTCATGAAGTTGTGCTTGGGAATGTGTTGATCCGGCTCTTAAATGGATTTACTCAGCCACCTACCCACCAGTACCCACCTCTTTAGGGGCCTCTGTCTGGATGAATTCTTCATAAATTTGCTTTGCCTTCTCCGCCATTTTGACTGGGGATTTTATCTTCTTGTAATCCTCACAAGCAACCCAGAACTCAAGGTTCTCCTCACTGAACTCAGATCTCAGGAAACCTTTGAAGCTGGCAAGTCCATCTAGGGAGTGAAAAGTAAGTAGGGAGATTTCATTAATTGATTTGATAAACTATATCTAGCTAGATGATGTGGAAGCTCAGCCAATCACATTTGGCTAAGATGTGGTCGCCTGGGGCAAAGGAAGAAGCACCTGGGGATTGGGTGCCCACCCCTTGTTTTCTCTCTTTCTCCGCTGCGCACGATTCTCGCTGGACCTCGGTCATGTGAGTCTCTCTTTATCCCAATTATTAAAATTATATTCCTTGTTTTTGAGCTGGTCTGGTTAATTCTAACTACCGGTTGACCACGCCCTTCAGCTAAAAACCCCAATTTTACTTCCAGTACATTCTGTCATTGATGTAAAAAAAAATCTTACAAATGGAAAGTCATTTAATTTTTATTATACACACAAAGAGCAGGAGCTGTAAGTGTCCTGCTTTACAAATGAGGTCACAGAAGTCAAGCAACTGCTCCAGAATGTCCAGCAAGTAACATCAGGGTTGGAACTTAAAACCAGGTTCTGATTCTGTAGCCACACACATTTGTCTATTATTCTAAACCACTTGTCCAAAGATGTGTGATTCTGTTTCTTGGAACAAGAACCTTCCATTAGGAGTTTCCTATTCTCACCTGCACTTGAACTGAGAGAAAAACATAAGGCGGAACAAAGATGCTGAGATGACATGGGAAGGCTCCATCATGCTGTCCCATGCACTGACTTTTAGTTTCTCTGCCTTTACCCCTTCATCCAAAGGGAGACAGGCTGGGACAGAGATGCAGAGGCCGTGGAGAGGAGCTCTGCTTGTCATCCACTCTGACACTGGACAGAGGCCTTTACCTCCCTGTCTTTTACACAAGCGAATGCATTCAGGTGGCAAATGTCTATGACACTGAGGTTTTCCCGTCAATACTGATGACATTCAGGACACACATCAATTCTGAAGAAAACCTTTATTGTTAGTAGTGGGAGCTGAATGAAGAGCCTCGTGCATACTACACAAGCACTCTACCACAAATCTATATTTCTAGCCCCCCCAAAACATATTTAAAACTTGGTTTGCTAAAATAAGCAATATTTATAATGAACAACTGCCCGAAACTATTATCCTGTTTCCTCTTTTTGCAGGTGACTTTTGAGTGAGTGCAATACGTCACTCTGGTAAATGAAACAAGCTTGGTTCCCTAGAAGACTTTAGAGATACCACAGAAAGAAGAAAGAAAAAACAAGGAAGACTCATTGATCATCTGTACAACAGAAGCCATTGGAGCATAGCAACAGAGTCCCAGAAGGAGCCTAAGTTCAGTTCAGACGGAAGGAAGGTGAAATAGAAATGTACAGATTAACATCTGGATGAAGGGGCCAGGTGAAGCTGTCACATAGAGGTCATTACTGTGTCCACCAGTTGGGTTTATGTCAGCGTGTAGAAGCTATTGAATGTAACAGAGCAACTATGAGTCTGTGAAGAGCTGTACATGCTATTTGTGTACATGTGATAATCACGGGCTCTTCACTTTCCTGTTTCCTTCCCACCCTTCAGTGCTAACCTCCCAAGTGGTAGATCAGAGAGCTCATGAAGAGTACTTAACAAGGTAGTGGAGATGAATAATAAAGAAAAGTAAATCTAAACTTATTTTTAGATTGAAAATGGGCATTGTACATGTGCATTTTGCACATCATACATAAAACTATCTAAACCAAAACCTAACAGTGATCTTAGCATTTGGTTCACAACAGGAAGTGAACTGGGGAACTAACTTCCCATCACAGAGACCTGTGCCCTGAATACTGACTTCATCGCTCTGGTGAATTCCACAATACAATAGTAAGGTTTTTTGTCAATGTGTGTGCTTTAAACCCAAACACATAAGATAGCTTTATGCCTCACTGAGCTGGGGGGCATTTAAAGCGACCCCTTCTCCCAACTAGCTTTTCAGTATCTAGGGATTCTCTTAGCAGACTCGCCTGCAGTCACTCCTCGTCAGCTTTCTGCACTCTGGTTTTCTATTGGTTTTTTTCCTCGGAGGCTTTTTCTGTTGAATTCCTGTTACCCCTGGACATATCCTTTTTGAGTCAGAGTTTTTCTGATTCCAGGTAATAGCTCTGTTTTACAAGGTACACGTATCTTTCTTACCCCACTTCTTTTACCTGGGGGCTTCACCGTAAGAACTCGAGCACACAACCCCAAGAAAGCACGCCAGGGCCTATTTGAACCAGCACAGAGCCTAAAGTTACCTCTCAGCATACCCAGGCATCCCATTAACCAGGACTCTGATTAGTGGGATGTCTGGGTATCTATCTGATGATTGGCCATAAGCATTCTGTGGATATGGTACCCATACATCATATGGCACTGAAACATTATAATTCAGAGCTGGCCCTAATGAGTGATAGAAATTTTTGACATTAGGGAAATCAAAGAAACAGCCTTATATAAGAGGGGAACCACCTATAAAACCCCTTTAAGGCTAGTAGGAGCATTAAACAAATCCAAGACTCTAAATCAGATTGTTATAAAATATTAAAAATATTAAAATTAGTACAAATACTTCAGCAGAGATGAATTAAAGGAAGACATTGAAATAGCATTGGTAATTTATAAAAACTATGGCATGATTCATTGGTTCAAAACTCAGACTTCAGACCCTAGATTGCTTAGTGGTGAATCTTGACACCTTTATTATGAAAGGACATTTAGCCTCACAGAGCCTCTGTTGCTTTGTATGTTAAATACAAACAATAATTAAAGCTGTATTATAGGACTGTGGTAGAGAACTAAATAGCTCACGCGTGGCTTTTATATGGTGGCAAGCAAATTTTCATGAAATTCAGTACACACTGGCTTTCCTCATCATCATTTGTGCCAAATTCAACACTACCACTTGTCACCATTACAAGGCCAACCCAAATGTTGCCTCATCCATGACATCACCTCCCCCCTGCCCCGCTGTCACCTACTCACCCTTGAGGATTTTTGTCAATGAAGGGGAGACATCGCTTTCTCCCCCGCCCACCCACCCCCACCAATTTTAACTACCTGCTGCTCAGCCATCTTTTCCATGATGCTGTTATTTATTTGAGTTCTTCCTATCTTCATTTCCTCCCTCCTCAAATATATGCACCCAATTCTTAATAGTGGATCTCAGGGAACTATGAAATCTGCAGATCCCTCCAACCCACAGGACCAAAGAGCATGAACTTTAAAGAAAAGTAAATACCCCAATTTTGTTACTGCTACAGTATTGAACATCAGAGGCAAGCTACCTAGCTCTTGGAATAATGAATTCTTTTCCTGAAAAATAGAAATGGTTGCTACACTTAAGTCTCAAGATGATTGCAATCACTAAATAGACCAATATATGCAAATTTCTTAGTGTGTGTGTGTGTGTGTGTGTGTGTATAGATATAGATAAATAGATAGATAGATAGAGAGAGAGAGAGAGAGAGAGAGAGAGAAATATAATGGAGAAGTGATGGACAGACAATAATAACTATACACACACACACACACACACACACACATGAACAAAGCATACATGATACATGAATAAAAGTATCTTTCATACCACTTTCATTATTATCATTGTCACAAGTGGAAATCATGGCTGTCCATCAGTGAGATGATGAGAATGGTGGACCAGGACACAGAAGGAAGAAAACTGGAAGGCAAAGAAGAGGAAGCCAAGGCAGGCTGTGAAGATGGAAACTGAAGGCTGAGCCTGGGCCGGCTGCTTTGTGCCTTGAGGGACAGTCCAGCCCACAGGGGTGTCTGAGGAAATACTCTGACCTTTTACAACCCTTGGGAAAAGAGGACCCAAATAAAAACTGTGTTGCCACAGACTGACTTTATCCCTGTTTGCTCTTAAAAATGGTCATGTGGGAGAATCCATACCCCCGACGGTGCTAGGGGGGAGTTATATAAGCTCCCATGTGCAATCTATTTTTGTTTTCTTAAAGATCAACATGCTGTTATGTGCCCTATAGACCTAACAAATGGAAACAGATGGCTTCTCTCTCAGAACTGAAGACAAAACTTTAAGAATGTGGTGTATTTTAAGAAAAAAGTCAAAGACCCCAAATGATTAAAAATCATTTTTAGGGCCAGTGAGAAGGCTCAGCTGGTGAAAGCATGGGCTGGCAGACCTGATGAGCTAGTTCCATTCCTGAACCCTCAGTGACAAGAGAGAGCACCAACTCCTGGAAGCTGCCCTCTGGCCTCCCCCCAACAAACACACACAGATGTGTGTGCACGCATTACTAATGCATAAAATAATTGAAAAATAAATCTGAGTAAGTAGGTCCTTGTTAACAAGAAAAGATTGAATAGCAGCCTGCTTGAGTTTATTTCTACTATAGAAAATTTTGATTTAATGAAGGCTTGGGTAACACTATCAACCCTGAGAGGCAATGGCCTATATTAACACAAAAATTTCCAAATATTCCTTATGAATCAGCAAAAATGTTACCCCTACCCCTTCAGTTTTAATGTGTGTATGTGGTGAGTGTTGTTGTTGTTGTTGTTTAATGTCTTATTCTGTAGTCCAGATGTGTCCAGAACTCACCATGTGTCCCAAGTTAGCCTTAAATTCATATCAATGCTCTTGTCTCACACATCCAAGTGATTGAATTACAGATATGAGCCACCATGCTCAACTTTAAATCACTTAAATTTCTCAAGTCAAGACTGCAGAAAGGAATCATTATGTTTCGAGTAAGACATTTTTCAATGTATCTGCCTTTTTTTTACTTGCTTTTGCATCAATCACAGTTAATATCATTATTTCTGGTAATGATTATTAGTTTCAGTAAATTAAAAAAAAAGAGCATGTCATAAGAGATATTGGACAGCCATAGCTTGATTTACAGTAATCCATGAAGCATAATGACAGATATGCAGGTAACAGGCCACATATTGCTTCTCTAGGCTGATGATGCTGAAATGTCTAGATGCTGGCATAGAACTATCTGGGCATACCTGGCCTTCTAGGCTTCTTCCTTAGAAATAACTGGAGATATAAAGAGCAGAGATAGAGCAGTAAGAAAGACACAGAGAAAGGAGAATCAGAGAGGAGAGAGTGATAGAAATATAATGGAGAAGCAGCAGACAGACAGTAATAACAGACAACCTTACTCATAGCTTCATTTGCCTTACAAATCACAGTTTCTTTGTTTCCGCTGGATCTTTCATACCGTACATTAAGCCCTTTCATTGACAGGGCTAGTTTGAATGGATAGGTATGACATTTAAGGAAAGCATTGGCTAAAATAGATACTGAATGATTTGCCATTTATTGCTTTGAGGAAATTATATATATATATATATATATATATATATGAACAAATGCATAGATGTAAGTATAATTTCTCCTCTGAGAAGTAGAAAACATTAATGTGAAATCCTCAGACCTCAAGTTCACGCTAAGATAACCATTTGTCTGCAATTGGAAAGACTTTGGTCCCTCAACAATGTTAAGTATTAACATTATCTCCTTCTGGCTTAGCTCCCACCTTAGTCTTTTTTATTCTGATAGCCACCATCCCTTTAAAATAAAATGGATGAGTATGTGGCCCTAAGAATTAGTGCGAGTGTAAAGAATTGTAGACAGACACATTGATATTTATCTTCCCCTAAAGAATTCTGAAAATATAGTTCCATTAACTCTTATTTCTTTATAACAGCAGCAAATACCACTATCTAGGCTATGTAATTTATCAGCTTACCATGTCAAAATGTGGTTGGCCCCAGAATAACTGAAGAAAAAAACAAATACAAATATTTTTGTTCTACGTGGCTATTCTACATTCATGGAATTTCTAGGTCCCGAGATGCAAACTCAATTTGCTCATTCATTCAAAACAATATTTACTGAATACCTTTATGTTATGTATCAGAACACGGTACTCTCTTTAACATAAGGCAAAAAAAGCCTTCAAAAGAGAATCAGAAGTGAATGTGATTCAGATTTTTCAAGTTGAGACTCTTGGTCTCTGCTCCAAAAATTAGAGGCCGCTGGGTTTATTGCTTGTAAGCCGAAGTTACTCCAACATCAACAAACTGTGAAAATATTCATGTAAGAGGTGGTTCAGTAGTTAAGAACACTTACTACTCTTGCAAAAGACCTGAGTTTGCCCATACAAGGCAACTCATAACCATCTATAATTCCAGTTCCAGGGGATCTGACACCCTCTCTTGGCTTCCACCAGCACTAGGCATAAATATTGCACATATAAGTACATATAGGAAAAACACTTACACACATAAGATAAAAATAGAAATTTGTTTTAAGATATTGAAATACAATCTACCATGCAGTCATTGTCATCTACTGGACTCTTCTTATTCCTGATAGCACTAATAAGAAATACTCCTTAAATCCCCATTTCTTTTTCTAAGCATCGAACAAAATTTCATATTCTGTTCTTTTGATGCAAAGAAGTAAGTTGGATATTATAAGTTGGTCACAAACTTAGGGTGAATCAGCCAACAGATATGTATTTACCCACAGACTGTTCACTTCATCTTTGAAAATTGCCCAGAAGAGAAAGACCAGACCCTGACTGTCGATGGGCTTGTGGCCTATCTCGGAAGGAAAACAACAAGACAGAAAGTACCAGGCATCAGGAAAGGTGTTCTGATGAATGGCTGTGGACTTTAGAGCAAACGATTCCTTCTAAATGTCCAAGGAAGACTAGGTATTTGCCATTGGGGTTAGCTCTTCGGGAAAGACAACATCAGTAGATAAAGACCTAAGAACAATGTATTTCATCTTAAAGAGATTGTGTATCTTTGTTGCATCTCAAATAAAGCTCTCAAAGGCAGGCTAATAAAAGAGGAAGCTGATTGAGAAGATAGTTGGCCAAGGATGGAGATAGCACTTTTAGGTCACGAGAGCAGTAGATAGTAGGTTGAGCTTGTTCAAAGACTAACTCTAGCTCTTCTCAATCTATGAGGCAAAGCAAGAGAGGTTTATCTGTCTCACTTACAAGAACATGGGGAAGCTACAGAAACAGGGAGGGTGATGCCTATTAGCAATCCCAGTGCTTTGGAGTTGGAGGGAGAAGATCAGGAATCCAAGGTCATCCTCAGACACACAGTGAATTTGAGGGTCAGCCTGGACTGGAGGAGAACCTATCTCAACCAGGAATCCATGTCATGTGGCTTACATAAGAAAACTGGGACAGACAGGAACAAAAACCCAAACACCTGTCCTCACATGCTCCTATGGTGGCTCTCCTGTAGTGATACGTTGTTTGTGATTTAGCAAAGAAAGCTTGACTGAAGATCAAAGTGCAGAGCTAAACTACTTAACCATAGAAGCTAGGCAGTGGTGGCACACACCTTTAATCCCAACACTCGGGAGACAGAGGCGGACAGAACTCACTCTCTGTGAGTTCAAGGCCATCCTAGGCTACTCAAGATTGAATCAGTCTAAAAGAGAAACAGAGTTCATACCTTTGATCCCAGCACTTGGGATCACAGGCCTTTAATCCCAGCACTTGGGAGGTGGAGACAGGAGTGATATGACTGGGTGGAGAGAGGATTATAATAAGGCGGGAGGAGACAGGCGCTCAGAGCACTCACTCTGAGAATTTGTGGGCACAGGATCTTGCCCGCTTCAGTCTGAGGATTCAGTAGAGGTAAAAAGTCTCACTGGTGGCTGGCTGTTCTGTTTCTCTGATCTTTCAGCATCTACCCCAATATCTGACTCTGGGTTTTTATTAGGAAGGCCTATTAGAATTCCTGCAACACTTTCCCTACTGGCCAACTGGACAGCTCCAGTCTCAGGATGCCCTCTCCGTGTTCAGATCACCACTTGGAGAAGGACATGAGCAGAATGAAGGTGCTCTGTGTCTGTCCCCATTCTGACCCTCGTGAGAACCACGTGAACTTACAGTTGTTGTGGAGAAGCTTGTCCAGGGAATGGCGCCACTGCAGGGCCTCGTCCAGCGAGGGCCTAAATCAATGATAAGGACAGAGAAGGGTGACAGCGTAAGAAGGAAGCTAACCACATGCATGACAATGACTCCATCCTGGTTTCTCAGATGGAAACGAGACAACAGTCAGGAGAGAGCAGAAGGATTATTTTCTGCCGTTGGGTCTGATGAGCTGTTGGCTATCTGGTAGCTACAGTGCATTTTTATTGCTTTTTGAACAATCTGACCAGACAGGTCTTTTTTGGAGTCTATTTGTTCTGTGGTCATGTCTAACAGTCTTATATATTCCATAGGAGTGAGTCCAAAGACGATCTTTATTTCAAATATGTGTTAATGAAATCCAACCATCCCATCACAGAAGGTAAACTAATCTGAAGTTTCACTACTGACTTAATAGACATGGTATTTGATTCTACACCCCAATGCCAAAGTCATCTCACTAAGACTAATAGAAGCCAGTCAGCTTGATTTTTGTCCCATATTAGAAGTATGGTTGAAACATAAAATCTGTATTTATTTATTGTTCTCCTTACAATTAATATAGAGAGACACTTTATCGAAGGTTTTTTTTTTCCAAAAGAAAAGCAATAGTATCTCCTAAGTCAGAATATCAAGTTTAAATGCTGGAGACACTGACTCAAAAGGTTTAGTCGCCAAGATATAACTTATGCCTTGACTGCTTTTCCTTGAACATCTGCAGCCACAGAAACCCCACAGCCGTACTTTGCTAACCACCAATTCTCTTCTTTCATCAGAATGCACAAAGGTGAGCTGCTGTTGTCTGAGGGCAAATAGCTGACTTTATCTTCCTGTGTTCACCGAGTTTGAACCCTTGAATGACTACATTTGGTCTTTATCATCCAATTAAAGCAGACTGGCAAAACATTTATTATGAGACGAAGTTGAAGACGTGTTTTTATCCCCAAGGTCTTAGGTTGTTTAGTGACTGAGACAATTCACACTTGTATGTGTATTGTGTATGTGTGTGTCTGTAACCTATATTCTATATAGGAATTATATATATTACATATAGGAATAATATATATTATTTTGCATGTACATGTTTACAATGTGTTTAGTACATTACACATAGCAGACAACCATCAAGGCCAGATGTTCTTAGAATCAAGAGACTGTTATACAATGAGACAATAGAAACTAACTCAGAGCAAAGGGTAGGCCTGGGCTTCCTGAGCCTCCTGATTTTACAAACAGTTTTATAAAATGAAATAGCTCTTCCTGCCCTTGTTCTTTGGTTAGCATAAAGGCATACAGGAAGAAGCAATGCCACGAGCAGGTGCCCTGACTTACACATGTTACCAGATGCAATTTGTCCCAAACGGTCTCATTATAAAGCCAAGTAATGGTCAATATCAGCAGCACATCACGACCAAGATTAAATTCCTGAAAGGGACATGTGCCGAGCCTGCTTGGGGGTGAAATTAGGCCAAATTGATTTAAGGACATAGTTGAGTAGGACAGATCCCCCAACGGCATGTAGCCCAGTGTTCTGATTACCAGTCGAGGAGGTAACAGGTTCATCCTGTCCTGATTCTCAGAATTTACCAGCCCTCATTAAGCGTGACTTCTTTGGAAACAAGAGAGATGCAGATCTAAATGACCAATGAGCATCCCGGTTGGCAAGGTCATTGCTGACCACGGAGGGTGAGCACAGAGCTCTCCCTGTGTGGGTGTCAGTGACAGGGAGGAAGCTAGCTCAGATGGCAAACAAGATAAACATTTATAGGAGTGATTGACTATGTGTTTTATAATGTTCAGTGCAAATACCACCTGATTCAGGAAGTGACCACATCAGTTTGGAAACAACAGCTTTTTCCACTCCTAACCGCTTTTCACTTGCTGGGCAATTCATATGCTAACAGGACACACAACCCCTCCCAAGGTCGGGTATCCTTCCTAGAGAACTTTCCATTCTTTCTTATTCCTACAGCATCAGTCTGAAGGAATAAGTGAGGTTGGCTGCAAACACGAAGAAAATATGTTCAATTTGGGGCCTACATATGGACATCAAAACAAGGCAAGTAACTCATCTAGAGTTCCCATCTGTTGGCCATTGGATAAAGACTCAATTCATGATTGGTCATGAGCAAAATATACTGTGAAGGACTTCTTTCAATAAACAGGGGCCAAATTGATAGGTAACCAAAATCTGGCTCCGTTTACCCAGAGGGAGCTTTGTTGAAAACCACAGATGACTCACTATTTAGATTTGAAAGAACAGAGACATGAGCTACACCTTTTGGCAACATAGATCAATATTAGCCTTGGGGAAGAATTTAACTTGGCAGCACCAATGGCTGGATTTTATAGTTTTGGTTTCCTTTTTGTTTTGGTTTAGTTGGTGATCTATACAGTGTCTGGTACATGCTTGATTATGCTTGATCATGTTTTCCCGGGTTCTTGCTTTTGACAAAGAGAACAAACCTTGAGTTCATTGATGTCATTTGTGAGCACCTGCTTTCTTCTTCCTTACTGTCCTAGAGAGCACAAAAAGGCTCAAGTCCATGCCCATTTCTTGTGTCCTTTCTCCCATGGCCTTTTGGCACCGTGAATATGTTACATACTTTTGAAATGCCTTTTCTTTGTATCCATAAATTTGCTCACATTCCCTCTGAAGGCTCACTCTACAGTTAACCAGGTACAGGAACACACAGGATACCACGCTGCGACTGTTTGTCACTAGCCAGGGTTTGGACAAGCCATTTGTGGAGGTCATTCTGGGGTTTTAAAGTTTAAAGTAAACACAATAATATTAATACTTTCAGCTAAAAATTGATAACAGATGTCAAAGAAGGACATTTAGAGTATAAAAGCCTGCTTGAAAGAGTGTCTGCCCCTGACATTTTGTAATTCCGCATATTACAAACCATAATGCTATTATAACCTCAATGTATGTAGCTTACAAATTTTGGTTATTATTCATTCTGAGGCCCTGCAGCAGAGCCTTTGGAAAGGCAGAGAGTGGGCAAAGGAAGGAAGGGAGAAGGGGAAGACAGGGCCAGGAGTCAAGGAAGAGAGTCCTGATAAAGAGGGAGCCAAGACAAAACAGGTCAAGTCTGTGCTAAGTCAGACACCCAGCCTGAAGAACAGCCCCATCATCAAGGATGTAGGCCTGACAGAGCAGACAAAAGTCTGCAAACATCATCCAATGAGAGCAAAGAGAGAGAAATGTGTAAGAGCCAAAAGGATGAGGGAGAGAATTTTTTCCAACATGAAGTAATACTTGTTTTCTCCTAATGGACAAAGACCCAGGACCAGTTTTGGAATCCTCAAGTAATAATAGAATCTGGAATTTGGCATAACACTATGGACAGCTTATTTTCTGCTGTTTTCCAGGGTCTCATTTTTTTAAAGTCAGATGAAAAGTTAAAATATATTACAAAATAGAAAGTACTTCCTCAAAGTCATTGCCCAAAGAAGATGAGAGAAGCTAATCATACGTTCAATCAAGAGATTTATTTTCTCCTCAGAAAATAAATCAGGTTAAAAAAAATACAGAGCAATATGTAAGTGAAGATATGAGTTTGGCTGAGCTCATGAAGAGCAAGGCCATTCCCTGAAGGCTAAAAGCCCAGAAATTTGCCCTCGTAAAGAGGCAGAGCAGAGCATGCGCCCTTGCAAAAGGCACTTGTTCAGTTCACGGAGGAAGGCAGCAGTCACACACAGCAGCCCCTGGGGATGAGAGGGGTTGTTCTTTTTCTCAAAGACAAACAATATTTTTGGAAGAAGAGAGGGAAGAGAAGTCAAGAAGAACAAATAGGTCAATGAATGTCAGCCCTGGGTTTCTCCAACCATAGCTCTCTTGACTCCGTAAGATCCAAGTGGTTCAGGTGTCTATGTGGTGTTCTAGAGAACAGATCAAAGCAGGAAATAGAGAGCTACATTTGAAATGTTAATCCCAACAGATCAATAATTACCACATTATTTGCCTCAAAATAGACTTTTTGACCCGCTGGCTATGCAGTGTGGTTCTTGCTGTCTACTAGTACAGGCAGCCTGCGGCTTCGGGCTTCACATTCAATTAGCTTCTCCTTTTTAAATGTAGAAAATTCAATTATGCCTCACTTCCGGTTTGGGAACACTTTGAAGTAATAAAAGGAGGAAAATGGAAATATCCACTTAGGATGATGGAAAATGACTTTAAAACAGAATAACCCAGTTCTGCATCTTCCAGTCAATCAACCATATTTAGTTGAAGGTCATTTGGACAAAGGATGGGTTGGCCAATTTATACAAATATTAAATTAAGGAAGAGAAATGGAAGTTAAAAAGAACTCCTGTACTTTTCCCACACGTCTGTGATCTTGACGCTTTTAGGTGGCATAATGAAGGAGTTGGCATCCTTTTAGCTTTCTGGCTTCCCTTCTTCTTCCTTTCTATGGGTACCTCTACTATAAAGGGAAGACTGAGAGCATCTGTCTGAACAGTAAGGGTCTAGGGAGCTAATGGAAGATGATGGACCATGTGATGGTATGGATGGTGTTACTGAGTTAAAGTAAGCGGATTCATGAGTGTAGAATCAAGCTTTCCTGCCATGCCTACACTGATGGAAGGGCGCGGGTGGGGAGGATATACACAGCTGAAGTTGAGACTCAGAGGGCTGTAAAATCCCTGTTGGGAGTATGTTTTTTATGAGTTGGGAAAACAATGTTCGGTGTGCATTAAGTGGGAGCAGCAAATCTTCAACCTGCCCTGAAGGTTGTGGGTCTTCTCTTCTGCTGAACCTGGAAGGGAACCTTATAGATTCAAGAAGAAACTGTTGAGTCCTAAATTGTCTGCCTTTTTGTTAGTGTGATCTTGCTCGCATTTCCCTTCCAAGGAAAAAGCTTGGCTATTACTTTTTGGTGAGTGTGCAGGGCTCATAATTAATGGATCAGGGTTACTTGACTCCAGCCAATAAACTATCAGATGCTTTGCTCTTACAGTCAATAACTGAGGGGCTGGTGCCACTTTATAAAGTGTAGTTCATCTTTTCAAAGATGAGGCAAGGTTCTATTTCTTTTCATTCTGCAAATATTTAATGTTATGGTCTATACATGGAGGAGTTAAAAAAAATAAAATATTTATGAACTGACTCTCTGAGATGAATGACAGTGTAGTACACGGAAAAACAGTCATCGTCTGGAGGAAAAGATGAGGAATCCATATTCATGACTCACTTGTGGGTCTTGGCTGGCTTCTCCGGCTTCTCATTATATGGAATGACAAGGTCAACAGCAGAGTCTGGCTTCTGGAGTAGAATTCCCAACTTAATCTTGATCTCCTTGGCCCTGAAAGGAAAGATGTCAGGGAACAAGAATGACACATGAGCTCACAAATCTAAGACAGTGATTTCTTTCTGCATCTGAGGAAGGAAAATTGAGAGAACCTCATTTGCTCCTTCCACTCCTATTACAACAAAATGAACATCAGGGTAGAAAATAGGACGCCCAAGTTCCAACAGTAGTGTTTAGAAGACACCAACTAATTTGTATTATCTCATTCCAATCTTAATGTTCTATTCATATTTTCTAATTTCCATATGATTAGTAATCCAGTCTTATTCCCATTTTACAGAGGAGAAAACTGAATGACAGGAAGTTTAAATATCTCAACCAGTCAGTTTGTGGCGAAGTCTGATCAGTCTGTCTCCAGAATTCTCAAATATGTAATTACTAATTGAACTGCCTAGCCATCTCCTGAAGACTCTGGCTTTGGCCATCAACTAAGTTTGATTTTATTTTTACTGACAGATCTCTGTTCCCTTTCTATGAAATGACAGAGCAATGCTAGATGTCTTTGTAAGCCATTTCCAATCCTAAAACTAAACTACTTTTGGCTGAACTGTGCTAAAAATTCTTGCTCACTGTCCCATTATAGCTGCTGTAGTATCCTCCTTGCAGCAGCCTTCATAGAGGAGAAGAATCTCCAGTAGTTGGGCTACAGATTTAATAGTCCTTTAATGTCAGCATTTTAGTGAGCAGATATGGTCAGAATTCCAGATGATCTTCCATCATAGGACAGGATGTGAAGATTCTCACCTAGTTTTAAAGCCAATTTTTGCAGAAAACCACCTTCATTTTATACTTTATTTTTATACTTTAAACAGACCATGGAAATTGTATATACATCTATCTAATCTATCTATCTATCTATCTATCTATCTATCTATCTATCTATCTATCTATCTATCAATCTAGCTATCATCTATCTCTTTACATACATATATGTACCTATAGTGTGTGTGTGTGTGTGTGTGTGTGTGTGTGTGTGTGTGTGTTCACATTTGCCAAAACACATTTGTGGAGTTCAGAGGACAACTTTTGGGAGTTAGTTCTCTCCTGCCACCTTGTCACCTTGTTTAGGAAAGTCTTCCGTTTCTGCTACTCTGAGTACCCCAATGCTCTGGGAGATTCAAGGTAACTCTCCTGTTTCCACCTCCCATCATCGTAGAAGTGCCAGAGTTGCGGATGTGAGCCACAGCTTCAGGCTTGTTGTGGTTCCTAGGGATAGAACTCGGGTTATTGGGCTGTCTTGAAAGCGTGTTTACCAGCCGAGACATCTCGTCAGCCCTAAAATCCTAATCTCAGATATGAGTTCCCAGGACACCACAGATTGCCCTTCCTTTGTCACGGGGGCATCCCACATGCAATTTTAAGATAGGGTTTATTGAGTCATTGTACTGCATTATGGTTATTGATCTGCTCCTGTTTTCCAAGCTGTATAGACGAACCCTTTAAAGGTAGGAGTTGAGTCTTAAGTGCCTTTTAATCTTTGTGCCTGTATTGTTGCTTAGCAACCTGGCAAATATTCAATAGTGTTTGTCATGGTGAACTAAAATTATCCTGATTTTGTTTCTTACCAATCTGTTAACGTTTGTCTCCAAGCCCGTGTCAAACATCAGCAAAGCCTTAAAGAGCTATGTGGGGTCACGCTGTAACCAGGCGGGATTTTGATAGTGCAAACATACTTTAATTAATGCACAGAGATGACAAAGAGGTGAAACACATGGCCAAGATGAATAACTATGCATATATTAAAGCCAAAGTTTAAAAAGCCCGGTCTTGTAACTACTTACAAACCCCACAGATCTCCAATTGCTACATCGAACTTCCGTTGAGATCAAGATACGATGCTGCAACTGACTTAGAAATAGTTAACTCTGTGATATTTTTCATTCCTATCTCTCTTCACTTCCATTCTTTTTCTAGAAGCTTCTCGGTGAGCAAAGCTAGCCCTAGCACTCTGTAACATCAAGTAGAGCTCAGTGGAACAAAGCATTGTGGTTGAAATTGGAAGTGTTCTGATGGGTGGGTCTTATATAACACATTGGATAAGATACCGCTCCCTTGATTCCAGGCTCTACAAGTTACTTAAATTATCTCATGTTAAGTTTCTCTGGCTTGGAAATCGGTACTGATGAAATGGTCAGTTCTCAGACTTTTGTGATGATTAAAGGTGCTAACATGTGTGAGTCACTAGGCACAGCATTTGGACACATTTCTGCTTCTGCAAAGTTAGCTTCAGCTGCATCATCGCTGTTTTCAGCCAGGTTTAACCTGCTTCCTACCTAGAGCACCAAATAGAGGGGTCAAAAATTACATAGGCTATTTTCTAAATCACGAAAGCTTCCTCGAGCATTCTAACTCAGGAAGTAAGACTATCCATATTACATTAATTGGAATAAAATTATTGTTGGGAGTTGGTTGGGAAATGTAGGCAGCACTTGGAGCTGCCCTCTGCTGGTCAATATGTAGCATTACGGTCAGAGATACAAGGTTTATCTTCTCTCTACATTATCTGGTAAACAGAGTCCCCACCTCTTGGCCTCCACATACCTCTTCCTTTGCACACCTAAGGAGAGCTATTACCAAACACTGACCTCAACACAACATTACACCCACCAACACTTACATAAACACTAGTGATAAGCACTCAAGTTTGGGGGCTTCCTGCTCTCCCTCCCCCCCCCCACTTCTATATCTTTGACCTTTTCTCTTTTGCTTTATCTGAGTCATTTTCTTTCATAAGGCAGAAAGATACTGATTTATAGTCTCCTATGCACGAGTAATAGTCATGTATTAGAGGGTAGTTAGAACAAAGCAATTGGGCATTTTTAAAATATCCATTCATGCATACGTGTCTTACTAATTTTACAAACTTACTATGTTTATTGTATTAGGTAGAACATAGTAAACAGACGAACACCCATAGGCCTTGTGATCTTTGCTGTCTAGGTGCCTATAGCCTATTGAGATCTTACATTGGGCTTTCCAGAAGGGAACAGGCCCTGCAGAGGAAGTCCCAGTCCCCATTAAGGACAGTCCAGGGGACTTCTCAGAGGAAGCAGAGGTAGAGTTGGAGAATGGCCAGTCATCACCCAAATGAGCGAGACCTTTTGTGTTCCTCACAAACTGGCAGACATTCACCTGACTGGTCTTGCAGAGCAGAGAGAAGGCCGTGAATGAATTGCTGGCTCATGAAATGTGATAGAGATCAGATTGCTGAATTAAACGAGGCTATCATGTCACCCAATGGAAGGGTGACAAGGGACACCGTGCTGCACCTAGCCTGTCGCATATTGGGCACGAGTGCAAGAAAGAGTTAAAGGTAGAGAAAAGGCAATTCAAAGGCGTCCCCAAAACCCCAGGAAGATTTTCTCTATATCATTTGTTCGGTGGGTTTGGTTTTGTGTGTGGAGTGATCTAGAGAAGGGCTGTTTACATCACCTATTTTTAAAAAATCCCATTTTGAGGCAGGGGATGAATCTCAGTTGGCTGGATGTTCACCTCCCATGTGAGAAGCCCTGGGTTTGACCCGCGGAGCCAGTTAAACTGCGTGTGGTGGCAAAGGTAACCCCACCACTTAGGAGGCAAAGGCAGGTAGAGGAGAAGTTTAGGGTTGCCCTTCATAGCCACCCTGAGATGTACGATACTCACTATATACACGTGTGTACATGTTCGTGTGTGTTTTCCCTTCTCAGACCTGGCAACTATACCGGAATACCAGGTACTCTTTTCCTCTTGTTTGCCTCAGTGTGTGTGTGTGTGTGTGTGTGTGTGTGTGTGCGTGTGCGCACGCGAAAGTACTGTTTGTGAAGCACTTCATTCCTGCCTTAGTACACAGGCTGAAGGAGAGGACATTGGAAGGTTAGCGGGAAGTCACCTGACCTAATTATCCATTTGCAGCCACACAGAAAAGCATGATTATTATCGCATTTATGCTCATCAAGCGGTAACCGTTCAAAGCTGACAAATGGTGGAGTCCTAGCCACTCTGAATACTAAACATCTTAGAACAACAAAACAAACAGAAAGAACACAGAGCTGCTACACGGCTTGAGAGTTCCTGGAAAACGGCTTCACCTCGGTTGCCTTCCTTCCCGTAGGGAGTCTCACACAAGTGTGTGAATAGCACAAATCCACAGGAAAACCAAATAAGCTCAACCTTGCCGACTTAGCTCCCCCTCCCCTTTAATGATAAACTTGAATGCATCTGACATTAATTTGGTTTCATAAGCATCTCTATCTGGAGAGGAAAACTCTAATTTGTTTACCTCGCCAACCACAATCTCTAGCTTTCTTTGACTGCACACTAGGCATTTTTCCCGGGTTAAATTACATTAATGCTGATTAACAAGGAATGATTTGTATCTTCTTTGGTCTATCTCCCCCCCTTCTCTTGTTATTTTTTTGTGTTACAAGTGGGGGAAAACAAAAACAAAAACTTGTTCTGAAATAAAATCAATTGGAAACGCCTGGCTGAGAGTTTAATTGCAGGCTCGGGGGAAGATAGTTCTAGAGATGAGTCACACCAGCGACTTCAAGCTGCATTGGTCTGAACAGTCATAGCCTTGTGCAAGGCTCAGTCTGCTCCCGTGTGGGTACGCTGGCCAGGGAGTTGGAATTCCAAGTTCTAACCTCCAGATGCATGTGTGTGCAAGGCTAGCACCAGGACTCCCTACAAACAGAAACCACTCAGCCTCTTTAGAAATAGAACTGCACTGGAGACAATGTGATTGAGAATGTATAGAGAAGCTCGGATTCTAGATGTTTCAAGGATTAAGATGGCGTTTCTGGCCCGGGTGATGTTTGGAACAACACCAAAGGGCACAATTGTACACCGTGCAAACTATGTTGTAGATGTTTTTTTTTCCATCATTGAAAACGATGATGGGATATAAGGGGAAAAGTCTATGTGCCTTCTTGATTCAAAAAAAAAAAAAGCAATAAATACCCATGGAAATGCACAGACACACCCCAATGTTTGTTAGCGACCAACTTCAGCTATGC